GCTGACTAATCCGACTGATACCCATCATGATAGGTTCCTGTACATTTGTGCCCACTGAGGGCAAGTCCTGCTGAACAGAAATTCCCAGAGGTTGAAGGATCTTTCGGTCGCCGATACCACTGAGTTCCAGGACCTGCGGTGATTTGACAGTGCTGCAAGATGAAGTTAGCGTACGAAAAGCGCTGTGACCTCTGCAACACGCGCCCGGCAGAGACAATGACCTCCTTACGTGCACAAGCATTGTGCACCTGGCCACCATGTTCAAACTCGACCGCAGTGGCGATGAATTCTTCCCCGTGCTTGGAGGTGACGATCTTGTGCACATACGCATCCGATAGAACCTTGAGATTGGGACGGTCGAGCGTAGGATAGAGGTAGCCCTGCAGGGATGTTCAATACCCGAACCACGACAAATGGACTGAATGCATACATTAGCAGAATACACCCGGTTCCGGCTAACAGGGTCGACATTGGAAACGCTCTTCCACGTCCCAGCAACATCGCCGTCGAGCGCCGTGCTTATCGTATCGACGCCGTTCTCCGCAAGAGCCTACAGGGCAGCGATCAGCGGTGTGTGATCGGCCAAATTATAATTGGCAAGGCGCACACGTTGCCAGGCAGCGTCGGCGCCATAGCTGTCCCGTCCGAACGAGAGCGGAATCGGACCGTCGTGCCCCATAGCGTCCGATTCATACAGGCTCTTGAACTCACTCCGCTCGGTCGGGTTAGGCGGGCAAAATCTTTGCGCCTTCTTCGCATACTTGTGGAAGTTCTCCCAACTCCAGCCCTCATTGCCAAGCTTGCCCACAGCTAGTGCCACAGTCGAGCGATCAGGGTCATTGAATGAACTTGGCGCGCATGGAGAGGTTCCATATCATCCAGTTGATTTGAGATGTGCCGCCGAGACCACGCCCTCTGTTCATGATGGAAGGGTCAAGTAAGCGGATCTCCCAGGCTGAGGCAACTCTGATATGACCTACCTGGGGAACATCGTGGGCTCTCCGTGTAGGCCTGGTTGTGGTGTCGTGCGGTACTTCCAGTCATATTCGGGATCATTGACGGACTTCAACCAGCCGACGGGGTCAGCTGAAGACGTCTTTAAGTGAGCGACGAAAGCTTGAACGGAGGCACGCACAAACAAGCGGATCGTCGAGGTGAGCGGGGCCTGCCTCCAACACAGCGACAGAAATGTTCGGGTTCTCACTCAGTCTGGCTGCCACAACGCAACCTGCGGTCTAACATACAGTACGTCAGTCAGCAACATGTTATGGGAAATTCATATTTGACACATACGCCGCTGCCTACAGCATATTGATGAGACATAAGAGAAGGTGGTTGTTGCGAGAACGATATGCAGCGCACCGATGACAACGAAATCGAATTCTTTCCCTGAAACATCAGCAATTTTAGCTAACTTCTGCTCCATGGTGTAGTAGTGCCGCTAATTTGAAATGCAGTCAATGAAGATCAAAAACAAAGTGCGGGTGTGGCGACCTCGCGACCCCCAGTTATATGAGACTGCTTCCAGCAGGAAGCGCCTCACCGGGTCAGCGTAGTAGCAGGTTTTGAATTGCAGCACAATGCATTCATCATCCCGAATGCAAGTCGGCCAACGGTTGTATTTCAGGCGGAGTACCTTTGATTGTGAAGTCATGGAGGACACCTATGAGCCACTGAAGCATGTTAGAGCGGCGCATCTTGCTAAGAGGTGCGGGGCCCACGCAAGCGCGTCGTTGTTGGAAAGATTCTCCAGCATGTCTTCTCCGATTCGAGTCGTGACTCTTACATGATGTGGGCGCCCGTTTCCATGCGCTTCTGCTTCGTAGTGGAGTTGGGTAGTCAGGAGGCTAAAAAGTTCAGGACAGCTCTCCGCTGATGCCGTCGAACGGAGAGGCAAAGTAGTGACGCCGACGACGGTCGCAAGCGACGGCAGTTAAGCTAAAGAACATCAAGCATGAGAGGAAGTAAGTGGAGGCAGGAAGCAAGTCTCCGCGAGCTGGTGACGACAACTCCGAGATAATTATGTAAGGCGTTGGTCACGCCACAACGCTATCGCCAAAACATGCCCAAAGTCCGCGGCAACTGAGGCGCGACACCTATATTCCCATACAAACATGCCTGAGAGCATGGCACAACTAGGTGCAAGAGAGCCGAGGTGCGGCGACACACCAACAACTCTCCGCGGAGCCGCACATCACCGTTGTCCTGTGTTGCTCGAATGCTGAGGCCGACTGGCTCACCTGTGCCTGTGGGAGCAATCTCTTCTCACCCACCGCACTGTCACCGTATCTCGAGTAAAGCATAGTAGTCATGAAGGTCTCTGCCTTGCCACACCTCCGTTCGCAATCAGTATGGGATACATCAATATTGTGACCTGCAGCACAGTTCTCCCTCGTCCACCTTCCCCCCACACGCCGTTCTGTGACACTGTCCAGCTCTCACAACTGTTTCTCCACTCTCACATGCCGCAGGTGATCGAGGTCACACACAAATTTAGTGCCCAGCGCTGCATGTGAGCTCACGCTGTCGTACAGGAACTGGGTAATGTACGCAGGACGGGGGCAGGGATGAGCTGGGCAGATTTTATTTCATGTACGACCTCCTATCTTGCCTTAGCTATACAAGACCGCGAAGTAATGGTCTCGGTTGCAGACTCTCGACCCGTTATTAGAGAATTGTAATGGGAGCTTCCGGAGTTTCGAATCCCCACTAATCAGCTCACTACAAATGGTTGTTATCGCTGCGCCCTGCCGCCGAACCGTAGGGCGGTAAGTCACGACTTTATCTCGAGTAATCTTATCTGTTATCTCGGTATGCAGTGTTGATTATTTGGTGAAGCGAATGACACATCAATAATATTTGGTAATTTACAGATAACAGATAAGATTGTTCGAGATAAAGCAGTGGCTTACCGCCTCGGGGGAATTGCATAACTAGCCAATCACAAGCCTACCTTGGTGTTCAAGCAACGCGCTCCGCTCGCACTAGGCGCAACAACGACGTCCGGCTTGGTACGGCCTTGCACAGAGGCCGCTGATGATCGGCACCAACCCAACCGAAGGCAATGTTAAAATCAGTCTCGGCGGTGCGATGTCGACGTACAAAGGGTCAGTCGACAGGAGCTTCAGGCGCTCCATCCTCACCCCGCTCCTGGCAGAGGTTGTGCTACGCAGCCATTCAACTCAGGAATCACAGTCGCCCTTTCATGTGAGCTGCAGTTCAATTCTCGCAATCACCGCTTTGGCCTGAAAGCCACCGCAGCTGCAAGGGATCAGCTTTGGAACTGAATTTTTGATTCAGAGAGATGGTGTCGATATTGCCGGCCCGCTGGTTCGGAGAAGGAA